TCCATTTGAAGAATCATGATTTGGGTCATCAGGATACCTGACTGATGTTCCGATTGTACGAAGTTTGACAAAGAATCTCATAATTCAGTGGGAGCCCTTAGAATCAAAAAGACTCAATGTTAAAATTGCGAAAGATGGAGCTGCATGGAAAGTCATGCTGCGTGGTTCGCACTTCATATCCGATCTCAAGTCGTCGTTGTGTGGTGATGAAAGTCGAAAGTGTTCGGCACGAAAGGAATAATGTTGTATTACTATCAGGGTAATGATAATTATTGGATCGACGGCAACAGTTGTTTCTAGTGATGACAAAGAGTTGGAAACAACTAGATTGTGGCAAAATAAGGCTGTTTGCGGACATGCAGGTGAAAAATCCTTGAAAAGATTGTTCAGATCAGGGATTATTGAAAAAGTGGTCAAAAACCTGCAAGTTGGACACTTACTGTGAGCATATGCACCAAAGGAAAGCAGAACAAGAGTGAAATTTTGGCAACCGGCGGGAATCTCCATAATACCCAAGGGTATTTTGACTAGTGTTCACTCTGATGTAATGGGGACCACCTCTACCAAACAACTTCTTGAGTGGTAAAACCATTATGTGACCTTTTGGTTGGATGATTACTCTCCGAAGGTTTTGGGGTTGTTATAACTTTTGAAGTACAAAGAATGAAGTTGCTAAGGAGTTTTTCCCTTAATGGAAAAAAAGTTGGTGGAAAACTCAAAACTGGGATGACGCATCAAATGTCTCACGAACAGACAATGGAGGGAGAATCTAACAAGAAAAATGATGCCTTTTTGATAAAATCTGTGCCAGATGAAGGCATTGTATGCACCTTTAGTTAGAATACAACCGCAGCAGAAATGGGGTGGCGAAACGTATGAACCGAACGTTGCGGCTGGGGAAGTTCGGTGTTGTTGTCTTGCGGGTTAGACAAGAAATTTTTGGGCTGAGGCTATATCATATGCATGTCATCCATTAACGATTACCATCAACTGCTATTAGGTGGCAAAAACACCCTATAGAGGTATGGTGTGGAGAACCTGTCTAATGATTATGAAATTCCTTAGAGTGTATTTGGTTCCACTGCATACTATGCATGTTAAGGAATCGAAGCTGGATCCAAGAGCGAAAAGAAAGCCATTTTCATGGGGATAAGGCACCGTGTTAAAGGCTATCGATCTATGGTGTACAAGAATACAAAAGAAAACTAATCTTTAGCAAGAGAATGTCACTCTTATGAATCTACCAATGTTAAAAAAGAGTGACAGTAGAACAATCAGATGGTACTCCACAACAGGTGGGAGGATACTCGCCACCAGGTGGGAGTTTGATAAAGAAAAAATCCCGAAGTTGGCCAAGTAACCGAACCTGCAGAAACTACCTGAGGTAGAAGGAGATTCAGATTGAAGACGAGGTTTCAAACCTCCAAAGAACCTCTCACAGCAACTTGAAGTCAATTGGCACTTGATAGGCCAAAAGGAGAAGTTTATAAGAAGCCTGCTCGTTTGATGATATGGTGGCCTATGCATCTCAATTTCCATAAAAACGTTAAAAGTTAAAGGTTTATATGAGTTAACTTTTCACAACATATTACTTTAATCTTTAAATGTTTAGTATAAACATTATGTTACCCAAAACACTAACAGAAAAAATATAGTTTTAGCATTTTTTGACTAAAAGCTTATTTAAAAAGTTGTTTTGTCCAACACAGCTTAAATTTAAGTTGTTTAGTAACACTCTAACCACTAGATGAAGTGTTTTCAGATCTGATAATCAATTATACGGGCTAGAAGTCTATTGAAGGATAATTATATTATTTGAATTTCTTGGCTAGGCAAAATGGAGTTGCAGTGTAGCAGCCCAATGGTAATTTCTACTTTAAAAAAAAAAAAAAAAAAAATTTTAATACAGATGTTTTTGCTAATAATGCATTTGTAGAAGACTATAAACTTTTTCTATTTATATATTGAAGTTTTGAGTCCGCTAATATTTTATAGCAAAAATAAAGAAATTAATTCATGGGCTGCTAAGATATCCACTCAATCATTATGCATGTCATCTAACACACAATTATTAGAGACAAACATATAAAAATAGGAGAATTCATTGGATAAGTTGACCAATCAAGCGGTGTTAAATTCCTTGAAAAAGGCTGTCATAGTTAGAACCACGATAATCCTTGAGTCTGATATATTGCTGAGGTCTATTTTCATCCATCAGGCTTCTGAATTGGTGCCCCGATCTCTATCTCATATTTGGGCAAGTGAAAGGCTGGCACTGATATTCTTTCCTTCTTTGATTCCCACCTCATTACCCTAATGCATTGGCTCTTGAAAAGATTCCATTGACTTATTGATCTATTATGAAATTTTACATTTTCTTCAACAAATTATATTTTCATCAAAATATAAATTAAAATTGATTAATATTCATCTAACATTTTAGATAAAACTTATAATGTACGAATTACGCAATGGCGATCAAGTTAGGAAATATCAATTCATACATATAATTGTTTCTTCAGTTCAGCCACAAACGTGTAATTATGTAAGGAGTCAAAACCTGCATACCTGCAAACTGGTCCAGACATTAGACAAAATATGCAATCAGGAAGTTAATGGGCAACTCTGAACCCACTGACCATGACTTTCAAAACCTGAAGCCTTCCTTCTTTATCCTGCAAGAGAAATTGTTAAATTACCTGATACATCCGAAATGAGCTTCAGCTCCTAACAACTAATGTCTGAACTTGCCAGATTCTGGATAGTTTAATTAAACCTCGCTCCTATCAATTTCTTCATCTCGGTAAAACGCATTCAAGAAGCAATTTCCTTTTCTAAAATTTTCAGCAATCTAATACAGTCTCTGCATTAGAAGCAAACCGTGGATGTACTCTTCATTATTGCTGAGTATTTCGTCTAATAACGTCTCTGCAAGTTTTTCAAAAGTTTTATAACAATATATTTTGAGAATAATGGGGAGATGTAATTAGCTTTTTTTCGAACCCATGACCTCTAGGTCAAAAAATTATGATTATAAACTACCCGAGAATCTGTAGGAAATTTGCATGGCCAACGTTCAAATCCTTCGTCATTTTCTGGAGCTACTTTAAGCAGAATGCGTTCAGACTGATTAAAATGATCTTTTTGGAAACATTTGGATCGGTTTCCCATAATCCTTTCAAGCTGTTAGCTTCTCGATCAATACTTATGTTTCTTTTCATGAAAGTGCAAAGAACCGGTTCTTTGTAATTTCCACTTACTTTATCAAGAAAATGAACTTTCTAATCTATGCCCGACAGCCTGCATATTAGTTTATATAAACCATCAAATTCAAAGAACATGGTTGTAAAGAACTAAAAGAAGTAAAAGAAAAATGCTAATTAAAGCTTTAACTGTGAATGTGAAACCCCTAAATAGAAATCGAAAATTGAAAAAGGAATAAGGTAAAGATTTCAAGAAAAGAAAAACCCTGATTAAAGCAACCCCAGAAGTGAGAGCCAATCTTCAGTTTTTTGAAGCTCATTTTCTCCACTTCTTCAGAAACAAAGAAGAATAGCAGACTGATGTCAATGATAGGAATTGGGGGCTAGTGGAAGGATTGTTATAGATTATTTGGCAATTTCATTGCCTTAGACAAGATGGAGTTACAATTGGTTAGTAGCACGCTATGGAAATCCTAGATTTCTAAAAGAATCAAATAACATGTGATCTAAGCTAATGATGATTTAGAAGAGAAAAGACCAATTTAATTTTCTATTTATCGTGCGAGGTTTTTGGTAATTTTTTCTAATCATGTAAACCACAATTAAAAAAATTATGCCGCTAGATCCACCGCCAATGCATAGTCCACGACAATAATAGTTATACAGTGCAATTAGTCATGATAAAGGGCTTAATAATCAAATATGATTTCTGTTAATATTTTTTGGTTATCTATTTTGAACCGAAAGAATTAAGGTGGTAATAAAATTAATAATTTAGAAGATCTCATAGTGTTATTTTAATACCTTCAGTGTTATAATCATTATGTGATATTAATCTTTACAAAATTTCGTCTAATGTAAAGGTGTAAAAGTAATACTTTAATTAAATTTAATAAAAAAATTACCGATGAGTGTTGAGAATGAGTGATTCAACACTCATTTTTTAAGCGAGGTTAAAATTATTTTTAAACTAATACCACTCATGTTAACTCCTCAAAGAAAATGTGTGCACGAAACTCAAAATATAAACCATGAGATATTTCTACACAAGATAAAGTAATGAAAAGGGAATTACATCACCTATCACTGTATCATAGGTTTCAGTTCAAATTTGAATTAGAATTCATGGGTTACAAAATTCCTAAAGCAGATGATTTATGTAAACACTTTGACATTTTCCTCCGTCATTTGGTCAAGCCTTTGTTTTGTATTTTGGAAACTTGGTTTTATTAAAATCACATTTTTTAATATGCACATTTGTTAAAGGATGCAAACCAGTCGTGTAAACCTAGCCGCAATATCATCAAATTCACTATAAACTTCACCAGCCCAACTTATTTTTTAATTGATTTATTAAATTCAAAAAAATTATTTTAAAAATAAATTTCTTAAGTCATTGAAATTTTGTCATTAGTTAAAATGGTATATCATTATTTTTATTATTTTTAATGCCATTTTTTTTTTTATTAAATGATTTTGTTATAATCAAATTTTTTTGTTCTGTTTTTTACTTTTTAGAGCTTGTCCAAGTTCCGTGGGCCTGGGCTTTAATACATGTTAACTTTTCGCATTAAACTGGGCCTATGGTAAATGGATTGAAATTTTACCAATTTGGAAATTCGTTTCATTTCCACTATAACAATTTTATTGAAAAACGACTATTTTGGTGTTTAATCGATTAAAGTGACAAGCAGAAACGACGATTAGCGTTTGTCGTTTAAGTGACAAGCAATGACTAATTTTCGTTTAATTGAAAAGACTTTGTAATGTTCAGGCAGCTCAGCTTCTGCAATATCTTTAGAGTCCGCCTCCATAGAGTATCATAAACATCACTAGCTTAAGGATTAAATTTTCCAACAGTCTCAATTTCACAGTCTCAATTGCCACCAAACCCTTTTGGTAGCATTCATAGTTGATAACACCATAATTTTTAACATTTCTGTATAATCTTGGTCTGTGCTCATCCATCAAGCTATCCACAGGTCCAATCTCTTTTTCTGGCTCTGGTTCATGAAATAAGGCCACGGATAACCTCAAGCTCTCGCAGTTTGTTACTACCCTGTGCATTGGACCTCTGAATATTCCATTACTCATTATCTGCATTTATCGTTCCATAATATACGTTAAACACAAGAAGAAGTAATAAAATCGAGAACCAGAAATTGTGAAAAACGTTACTGATGAGGCGTATACCTGCATTTGGTCTCCAAGATTGACGACAAGAGCATCAGGGATTACAGGAACTCTTACCCATTTCCCATCTACTAAAATTTGAAGGCCTTCGACTTGTTTATCTTGCAAAAGAATTGTAATGCCTGATCTATCTGTATGAGGTTTGACTCCAAGAACCAAATCAGGTCTCGAACACCTTGGATAGAAGTTAAACCTTGCATTGCATTAGTGCTCGCATTCCCCCAAATTGCCCAGAGAAAACGTATTCTCCTTTCAGTTACAGTTGACCTTTGCCATTGCTTTGTAACGAAGTCCATTACAGATTGCACCTTTCAAGGGAATATATCGATCAAGGTCTCTTCTGCAAAAATAATATTGATAAACAAAATTGATATTTGAACAAACAATTTTGTATATAAGCATCAAGAAAAGCTTAACCTGAAAATTAGGCAGGGTATATCTGGCCAAGTTGTTCCTTCCTTTCATCTTCAGTTCCTTCTTTCATCTTCAGGAAACACCCTTAGAATTAGGCGATGAGACCAGTCGAGAACTTGATTTGATGAAACAATCATATCACTCCCATACCCTTCAATATCATTCTCAGACCGACCATATTTCGACTTCTCTTCCTTTGGAAGTTCAAAAAATTGGCATGCTGTCTCACGCACCTTATCAAGAAATGAACTTGACATCCCATGTCCTGTTGCCTGACATAAATATACTATATTTCTTTAGCTCAATTTCTGATTAAACTCATCAATACTTAATTATCAACATTAGCCAAAAGGATAGTATTGAAATATAGTAGAACATAAAATATAAGTTATGCGATTGAGAGTATTTGATATTGGTAATTAATAATTCAAAATTGTCAACATTAGAACTCAACTATGGCACTACAAAAAAAACGCCATTTTGCGACCGACAAATCGGTCGCAAAATGGCTCATATTGGTCGCTAATTGTAATTAGCGACCGATTTGCGACCGATTTTTTCGGTCGCAAAAAGCCTGGTCGCAAATAAATTTTGCGACCGATGAGACAATCGGTCGCAAATTAGAGACCGATATAATCGGTCCCAAAATTGAATAATCGGTCGCAATTTTTGTCATCGTGCGTTTAATTGGAAATTCAGTCGCAATTTGGTCGCAAAACAAAACTCGGCTTCGCAATTCTTTTTAAATCGGTCGGCAATAGGTCGCAAATTGTTAAATTCAAAATTTTTATTTTGGTATCAAATCGGTCGCAAAATCGGTCGCAAAAATGAAAAAAAAATTAAAAAAAATTAAATATTAAATTATGAAACCAAAATTTTTCCGCACCTGTGAAAATTGACCATAAATACATATATATCGCAAACACGCAATTCAAGAACAATATAAAAATGTAATTTTTTATTGTGCTGAACAAATTAAAATATTGAAAATACAAAAGGAAAAACTAAAAAGGTCAAACAAATCTATGGCTGCTGTCATCTGCAGGGAGTCGATGTCGGATTCCCAGATGTCGGATCGCCGGAGGAGTACCTGCTAGATGTGATGTAGCGCCAGGAGGGGTGCCAAGTAGACCAAGGTATCGTCTGCAGCATCGGGATCAGGAGCCGATAGTGGCTGCTGCTGAGACGTCGAAACATGTCGGTCTGTAGCAGGCGTAGGATCAGAGGGAGAAGTACCAGCACGGTGCTCACCGGACAGCCGTATCACATGCGCTCTAAGCTCTGCAATCTGTCTCTGCTGATCAGCAAGCTGAGCCCGTATATCATCATCACAGTACGAGTCACTGTGCTCCGGCTGTAGAAGCGTGAGCTGCTGAGCCAATGTAAAACTGTGATGCCTGAGACCCGATGCCGTATACCTTCCTCTTCTTCTCTCCCCCTACAGCCTCGAGATAAAGCGCTACGGCCTTAGAGATAAAGCGCTACCCGTCAATTCTTGACTCAGCTTCGGATTCATCGGTCTGATAAGAACAATACGCGCCAAGCTTGTAGTATCAAGTTCGCCTGAAAATAAAAAATTAATTAAGCAATGCAATTGCAAGCTTTGTTTATTGAACTTTGTAGATCTTTCGCAATGATTAGAGGGTAATGTAAATATTATTCATTGTTTAACTTACATTGACGTCAGCGCACGTCTATCGACAGAACTATTATGATCGTAGTCCTTTCGTGTGAGTGTATGCTAAACCCCAATCGGTTGTGGGCTCAGACCTAATTCTTTTAGCCTGTAATGAATTTTTATGCTGATATATTTAATTATAGATATAGTGTCCTTTCAATTAAACATCAGTTTCTTGTAAAGGGACTAGTTCACTTACTAATAATCGAGGCTGTCTCTAAGCAGATATAGGATTCCGCTTGTGTCGAAAAAAGTCCTTGCTTCATCACCGCCAGTTCTCAAGCGCCTGTTTTGTGGCCAAGAATATCTCCCGCTTTCTGTGATTGTAGGATCCTCCCAAGCCTTTTGCCAGTCTCCCATAATCTCCTGAAATGCCACATGCTTCTTACCGCTTCTTTCTCATCCTATAGGTGAAGTCAGAATCGATCGCCCTGCATATCTTCCCAGGTACTTTACAGCTAGCCGTTAATGGCTCGTCCCATATTGAAATGTTTCGGCAAAAAAATGAAATATAGCGTTTCACCACTAAACCGATGTATCTTGAATTGTAAACACTTGAATGATGATATAAACTTTAACCAAAGAGTACCTGGAAACTCTCCCAATAAAGGTCTCTCGCCTCGATGTGGTACGGCATTCCATGGTATCCTTCTTTATGCAGCTGTAGGCTTGATTATGTTCAAAATTTGCCTCGCTGCTCGAAAGGAAGATGGATAATATGCTGAAAAAAAAAAATAGACGGAAAAATTAATTATACGAAACATTCACTCAGTTGATGAATAAGCTACAAAAATATATTACAATATCCTGCAAGGAAACATTTGAATAAGTACTTACTTGTCACGCTAACCAAACTGAGAGGTGATTACGTGGATCTGATGAAGCTGCAAAAGAAGTTGACAAATGTTATAAATTTTTAGATAATTAATATGAATTAACAATGACAGTTATACATTTATGATTTACTGCACAATAGTGACTGTGCAGCTGGTGGAGTCTGTACTGTCCAGAAACGGGGTAAGAGAGGAAGGAGCAGAAGAGAAAGGAGCAAAAGGCTTGTGATGCCGCAGTACGGACGCTGAGGAGAGGATGAAGCCCCCAGACGTACCTGAAGAAAGGGATTGAGCCCGGCGTACTGGTCGCTGAGCAGATGACGAACCCCAGACGTTACCTGGACGAAGGATGAGGGAATCGACCATCCTCGTCCATGGGCACTGCGGTTCCAAGGCCACGACCTCCCCACGCGAACCATGCCGGATGCGTCAAAAATCAAACGCTCTGCCTCTAACCATCTTGTAACTGCGAGATCATAAGAACCTAGATAAAAATGAATTTATACCAATTATATGAATTGTTGGACATGTCGGTAAATATGAGTAAAGAAAGTTAGAACCATTGAAACTTTCTTCATTTAATAATATAATTAGATATACATTTCATGAATTGTTGTAATAGTAAACTGCTCTAGAATTAAGTGGTCTTCAATATCATCTGCTCCTCCTCCTCTTCATCAGCTTCCATCTTTATCCTACTATATTAAAGGTAAGTGTACTATCTACATATTGAATTTATAGGAAAAAACTTCGCAGCATTTCGCACAAAACAAATCAATCTCAAATACAAAGACAGCTATCAATAAACACTTCTATTAACAGTCTTACCAACATTCTCCAAAGGCAAATAGGCCAGCTATAGGCCCCAATCCAAACTCATTATTCATTGAATAAAAACATAGTTTTAAGAATAATAACGAACATAATTATCTATAATAAAGAAAAAACACAGCCAAAAATTCAAGAAAGAGTTGCCATAGTTAAGAAATGTAATAAAAAGGAACAATCAATACACTAAGCAAAAAGCACCAAAACTGCAAAAACCCATATAACCTACACATTTATTAAGCAAAACATGGTATTCCACATCCATGACGTGAAAATCGGTAAGAGAAAGGTATTTTTGAACTGTTTTCAAAAAAAAAAAAAAAAAAAAAAAAAAAAAAAAAAAAAAAAAAAATAGCACAAAGCCAGTTTACTACCTTGGGTATTCCTAATCAAACTAGACGCAACTCATGCATTACCAGTTTACCACCTCTTTGGAACGTTTAGAAAATCAATTTTTCCTCCTCTAATTAATAATCAAAATGCAAAAATTATTATAAAAATTACATGTCTATCCCATTATCATCTATCAAGTTTTAGTATATTGTTATAAGTCCATTTCTCTTATTTGATTAACTAATATAAATATTCACTTGTAAAACATATATGGACATGATAGAAAACGACTCGACGTGCCTTATCAATATCATTTTTTATATGCATGTAGAATCGAAGATTATGCATTGAATAATAGCTACTAGCTAGCTAGCTAGCTTTCTTGAACAAAACTTTTAAAAGGTAAGACAACTACTATAATTATGGCAAGATTACAGAGGGAACCATAGAATCAATAACTGAAGGAATTAGAAAAGTAAACACAGCCACAACCTGCTTTTCAGTTTCCTTTGTCAGGCATAACTACATAGAGACCTCCATGTCACCCAAGACCTAAGAACTAATATAATGACTACATGCATTGAGTATATTTAACCTGTTATTAATTAGAAACCCTTGACATATAATATATGCAATTAGAAAATCTCTAGTAGAAACTAGTATTAGCAACCAAAGGCGGATTGCTTCTATCCAAGTATTTCTAACTTATCAAATAGTCCTCTTGTTCTTCTTACTACCAACCCTAAATTCTTTGCCTCACCATTCACCGCCAATTCTCCTGAGTTTCTCTAACTTCTATAACCAGATAAGATTACTAACTTCTACTAAATTCTTTTTTCTTATAAACACCACTTGTATTTCAAAAAAAATATCAATTAAATGCACCAATTTATTGGTCAAGGACGCAGAGATATACTATAGTTTAGGAAACAATTCAAGCTTACGAATGTGGTTATGAGCCTACCATGATAGATTGTGTAGTTTAAATGGTTAAGCAGGCAAATCGCAAGTATTAGGTTGTTATTATCTTTTTGAATTTCTTTGTTTTTTTCACTATTTTATTGGAGTAAAATATCTGTCTTCAATTAGTTACAAAAGGCAAACAAGCTGTGAATAAAGTTCAACGACGGCCAAACAAATTAATTATCTATTTCAATCACACTAACTGATGTTATGTTCATATAATTATCTGTTTCAATCACACTAAATATAGGTATCTATTTCTATAACCAGATAAGTTTTTTTATTAAATTTCTCAAACTTTTAACCAAATTCAGTGTCACCTGCAAGCCACAAATCTATATAACATTAACCAAATTTGATCATTAACAATATTAACAAATATTAACAATAACATTAACAATATTAACAATAACAAATACTAACAATAACATTAACAATATTAACAAATATAACAATAATAACAGTAAGAATAATAATAAATTGAAAAAAACACAAAAATCGCAAAAAAAAAAAAAAAAAAAAAAAAAACAAAATCGAAAAAAAATAAAATGCAAACCGCCTTACCTCAAATGGCTGTCCAACGGTGAGCGAACGGCGTAGAGGAGTGACCGAGTGACTGGAGCGTCGGTGGCGGCGTCACACGGGCTGGAGCGTTCTCAGGAGGGGCTGGAGCGGCGCTGCGGACGGAGGAGAGGAGAGCGGACGGAGGAGAGGAGAGGAGAAGGAGAAGAGAGAAAGAAGAAGAAAGGAAAAGGAGACGGCGTCGCGTTTAAAGCCCTAAGATTTGCGACCGATATATCGGTCGCAAATTTAATTAAAATCGGTCGCAAATTTTTAATTGTCCGACATCGTTTCACTTCACGATAAAATTGCGACTGACTACGTCGGTCGCAAAATATCGGTCGCAATTTTGTCTCCATTCGGTCTCAGAACTGTTCCATATTTTTTACGCGCGCAATTTTACGACAGAAACACAATTGGTCGAAAATCAGTCGCAAAATCGGTCACAAATCCGTATCACTTAAGTCGCAAACCGAAAACCAAACTCGCCGGAATTTTCAGCGCTAAAATCTGCGACTGTTTGCATATAAGTCGTAAATCGGTCGCAAAATTGCGACCGAATTTCGTCGGTCGCAAAAATCGGTCGCAATTTGGCGTTTTTTTTGTAGTGTGGGCTTTCAATCGATAAAATTTACTTTCCATCAACAACATGCTAAACCTAACAATTAATCCTTAATTGTTATAAAACGAATGATAATAAATTATCAATATTCAAAATTAGAATTATCATTAAAATATAATAACATGTTTAAGATTACTTTTCCTATATAATTGTCAAAACTCTTTGACAATATTTCCCAACCAATCAAAAAATTCTAATGGTTTATCAAGCCTAATAGTATAAAACTGTCAAAATCATGCAATCGAAGAAAATGAAATCAAGAAAGTAAAAAACTTGGAAGCAGCCGTTCGAGCTAACAGCTGATCTTAGTGTTTGTAGTGCGTTTTCGACTTCGTTGTTAGTACTGTTACCGGAATCCAATAATAAAGAGGAGAAGAGACTGATGTCGATGATAGGAAAAGGAGTCGCCGATGAGGAAGAGAAATTATCAGAAGGTGCAAAAGTGCATCCTTTGACTATGTATTCTGATGGTGGCTGCTCAGTGGCCGCTGACATTTCTTGAACATCTTTTTTGGACAGTGATGCCATTTTTTCACAACAGAGAAGAGAGGCATAAACTATGAATGAGATGAAGACAATAAGCCATCCGACAAGAGGTCTTATAAAATCCCGTGGGTTCGCAAATTAAGGACACTTGTCATTATTTTATATGAAAATACAAACCTTTTTAACAAAAAAATTTTTCCAATATAAAATTATTAATGCAACATAAATTAATTATTTAGGATGATCTTTTTTTGGATCGATTGAAACTTGAAAACTGCTAATCTCAAATTATTAAAGCATGAATAAAGACTGAGATTCAAAATATTAAATTTTATACTCTATCAAGATGAGAGCTAATAAGATATAATCTAATTAGCGTTTTTAAAAACTATTATAAATTTCAAAAAAAAATCATGAAATTTACTGTTAGTATTTTTAATATGAAAATAAGGTATTGTGAATTATATGCAAAAAAAAAATTTAAAGAAAAAATTAATGATTATATTTCTATTGTTTTAAGATAAAAGGTTTGATATGTAATATTTTAATTTAACGTGGACCTCAAAGTCTTAGAATTGGAGCCTTTCGGCAACTTTTGATGCTTTTGTCTCCCTCCGCCCTAACCTTTTTTTCAAATGGAAAATTTTTTAAGGAAGAGGATTTTAAAAGCTTATGAATTCCCTATATTATACCATCTTTGTTCCATAATATTTATCACATTTGAAATTTTACGTCTCTTAAAAATTATAATAAATTATTACGTAAATTGACTATATTACCATTAATTTAATATTAATTTTTTAAGAAAATCATTAAATTAAGTAATAATTATTGGTCATATGCAAAGGATAAACAGGGAAAAAAAGTATTTATTACTCATTGAAATTATAAATATGACAAATATTTTGGAATAAATTATTTTTTCAAATATAACAAGTACTATGGAATAGAGGTAATATATACACCGCACGCACTTTTTTAAGTTTTAACAATTTGACTTAGAAGTTATGTTTCTAGACAAGAAATTGAATTTATGTAGTATTGCAAAAACATAACGGGTAATATTTTTTTTTTCAAAGAGAACATAATGGGTAATATTAATATTTTTTTTTTCAAAGAGAACATAATGGGTAATATTGATAGTGGATATTGAAAACCTTACATAACATTTAACAAGTTGATATTGTGTTTTCAAAAGTTTAATTTCGTTACTCAAGGGTGGTTTGTTCTGGCTGAACTACAAATGCTGAATTTCAATTTGTTATATTATTAAACTGAATAATTAAGAATTAATATATAATTATTAGAAACAATTTATCTTTTTTTCCGATAAGTTATATAACTTTTTGAATAGCTCTAAAAAGAAAATTTTTTCATTTAGTCAAAAATTAAATTATAAATTCAAATATATCACTTATTGATTCAATTCAAACGAACAAACTTATTCTGTTATTATTTAATTAAAATAAACACCTCCTAAACTTTTTCTTTAATGAAATACCTCGAATTTTTATTTTCAAAACTTTTGAATTTTCATTAAATCAAAAATCCAGATTTATGATAATATGGGCTGTTAAGACCGAGTAATTTATTCAATGTAGTTTCAACAAATTAAATTATAAATTCAAATATATACGTTAATTGATTCAATTCAACGAACAAAACTTCATTCTGTTATCTATTTATTTTATAAGATTAAAGGACATCACTCCTAACTTTTTTCTTTTGAATACTTCGAATTTTTTATTTTTCATATACTTTTGAATTTCAATTAAATAATCAAATCCAGAATTTATGATAATATTGGATTCTGTTAGACCGAGTAATTCGTAGAGTGTTTGACACAAGTTTTACATTATTATTTCGGGTCCATGCCCAAAACATATTGAAGTGTTAGAATTTTCGTGGGTGTGGGGAAATACTGTAAAAGTGGTTTTCGGGGATTGATACTAATAAATGTTGAAGCACTTTAGAGTGTGTGAGGTGTGCGTATTGTTAAAAAATGTGTCCATATAGTGAGGTGTAAGCGGTATCGGTGAGGTGGAGTATTTATATAATCAGGATTTGCGGCGGTAAATTGAACACTATCTTTGTGGTGATTTTAATATTTTATGAATATCAATTGGGCGTGAGTATAGAAGGATACGGTTACGGTATACTAAACAAAATAAGCTGCAGAATAATTGAACCGTATCACCTATAATCATTTAGGATGTGTGTATCAAAACAGATGAGAGAATCGCGATAAACCGGACCCAAAAATCAAATTAATTTTTCAAAAACCAGATGAAAAATCCATAATTATGAATAAAATGGGGAATTTAAAGAAGTTAGGTTTACTACGGGCTTCGGGGGTCTTAAGCCCACCCAGGTCTTAGTGCCGGTCCGGCCCACGGGAATGGGTCGTGACATTTAAAAAGCAAATTCTAATTTGATGGTCACATTTATGGGCAAATTCTAATTCTAACAGACATATAAATCAGATAATCATATTATGAATTAGAAGTGATTTAGTATTCACAAGTTTAGCGAGTAATAACATTTTGTTTTGAAAATGATTTGAGAGAATCCTACAGAAAAACTGCAAGAGTTTCCCCTAAAATAAAAGTCGTCAAATATGTGAATACAAAGCACTCCTAAATTCAAACTCCAAACCCTATCAAACTCCAATAACAACACAATACTACTTTTATAATTTCATAAGTACAGAATTCCTCAATAACAGTTTAATATTCATCACTTATATACATTCATGTAAACATATCAACTTCTAATGTTCTAACCATTAAATAACTAACCATTAAATAAGTTCCAAGTTTATCTCCCAATATATACACCAACATATAATAATTTTTCCGGACAAAAAATAATACCGACTCCCGGACCAGTGATACTATTCACAGACCGGTAAACTACTATTGAAACACAGAAAAAATAGGGCATTAGAAAATAAGTATGCGTTAATAGAAATAGCAGCTATGCAAATTTTTTTTCATGCATTTAATTTGCTCTGAATTAAAAATTTCAGTTAATTTGATGTACTTATGATTATGAAAACTCCAAGCAGATGGTTTTGCTTAACTCAATTAGACTCATTCATGAAAGAGTTCAAGTAAGTTTTTACAAAGTTAAACATCAAAAAGCTCGTGAAACATAGATAAGAGGTGAAAACAAACTTGTACTCTGTTCGTTTAAAAAAGATAGCTCATCTTTTGATTTGTCTTAAAATATAGTTCACTTTCCTTTTTTGTATTATATTTAGCTTTTAAATTGTCTATTATACATTTATTAAATTTTATCTTATTTTCAATAACCCTTATTAATTCTTATTTATTATTCAAATATAATAATCGCTTGTGCCTTATTTAAGATAGACATAATAGAAATGTTATATGAAAAAAAATTCTTTAACTATATTTTTTAATTTGTTGGAAATCAAAAGTGGACTATCTTTTTAGGATGGAGTGAGTATGAAATAATTAATTTTAGAATATGCTTGACATTACTATTTGAGCTATGGTTGGAAAAATCAATATATGGAAAATATTAGTTAATGGTCACTAAAATTTATGATAAATTTCACATGTTTTAGTCATAAAAGTTTCATAACAATATTAATGGGAACTCCTAAAATATTTTTTCGAACAACATCTAAAATTTTTAAAACTGTTATCACGAGAGTATCAGAGTAATGGGTATTGTAGGTCCGATCCACCAAAGCCCAACCCGTTATGGCATTCGTTTTTAGTTTTTAGTTACGTGTCGACTAACGATCTTAGAGAACCGAAAGCTTCTCCATCTAAAAACCAGAGCCACAATCAAGCTTCTCCGTGGACACCTCTAGTCCGTGGAAACTTTCCCATGGCATTTCTCTTTTCATTTGTCAAATTAGTCCAAATTCTTTTGTCCCCTTTATTTTCACTCCTTTATTGCTGAAAAAAAGGCCTGCTTTCTTAATTTTCTTGAACATTTTGTCCCCTTTATTTTCACTCCTTTATTGCTGAAAAAAAGGCCTGCTTTCTTAATTTTCTTGAACAGATGGCAAAATTTACTCTTAAAGCAGAGAACTTTTGTTTTCTGTCTCACAGCACCAACACAAACACCTCATTCTTCAACAATTCCTAAGTAAAGCACCGAAACTTGCATTTAATTCCCTCTAACCGAAGATTGAAGTTCAGGGTTTTGTGTAGCTTGAAAGAAAAGGAGAATGTTAAAGAAAGCGACAGGGTGCCCGAAGTTCTTACTGGATTGCGAGTGGATGAATTGGATACAGATACTGAGACTCAATCGAGGTCTACAGAACTGGGTTTTGATTGGAATTGGTCGCAATGGAAGAATATTCCTAAAGATATAAACTTATTGGCACTACTTCACCTGCCTTTGTTACATGTAACATGGATAAGGTAATTCTTTGTTATCTTCTGTTAGACAATTCAAAGAAAAGTTCATTTATGTTTCTGTTAAGGAGTGATGGGTGTGGCCTTAATATGATATGAGGGACTTCTGATTGACTTCAATGGTTATTCAAGTCAAGTTGAAAGGGAAAAGCTTATCAATTACGTTTGTGTATCTGGACAAAGAGTAAAGAAGTGAAGTAGTGTTCATTAGGTAGCGATTCGGTTCTTTAATTTTTGGGACTAAATTATTGGGACTAAATTATTTTTTTTAATTCAATTTACTAAATTGGGGGCAGAGTAAACTTGAAGTATGCAGATGCAGGTAAACTTGAGTATTGCAATTATTCCAATGTCTCATCAGTTTGGGTGGAATGCATCAGTCGCTGGGCTAGTGCAGTCATCCTTCTTTTGGGGGTACACGCTGAGTCAATTACCATGTGGTTGGCTATCTAAGATATTTGGTGGCAGGTTAGTTCACGATGACTTTTAATATTTGTACAGTATTTCACTTTTTACATATTATAACTTATTACAGAAATTTTTTTGCAACATTTGTTTGTAAGATTATATCTTCTCCCCAAAAAGAAAAGATGCTGTTACACGATGATTGGATATTCATACATGCACAGCTCGTACATGCGCCAGATGCTCCATTCCCTGGAAACTCGATTCTTTCTAATTGTGCTGTCCATATATCTTTCTAGCTACACGAGGGCTCTTCTACTGTATCTGAGCTACATCGATTAGTAATATTTTTCTCAACGCAAATATGCCTTAACACTTCTACAGTGTGGGCCACTAACTGAAAGAATAAACAAAGCAGGATGCAATTCAAAAAATAAGAAGCAACACTTTGCATGGAGCTACATATCAACTATAATTTTAGCTTTCAGTTTCACTCTGCGAGTGCATTTTCTCCAATGGGTATCATCAAGTAGTACCTGTGATTGACCCTCAAGTTTTTTTCCTTGCTTCATTTTGCCTTATCTTTGAAAATAAAGTCAAAGAAATAGGCTAGCCTTTAAAGCAAATTGTAACTTAATAGACCATATTCGACTAATCTAATTTTGATATCAGGAGAGAGACAAAATCCTAACATTCTATCTTTAAGTTTAACGAAAGCTAGCCTTCTAGACATGTACCACTAATTTTTTACCTTTGTTCTTGATTTATTCATATGAATGATATGTTACCCATTTTTTCTTATCATCATTTTTTCATTTTGCAGTAAAGTTCTTCAGATTGGGGTATTGTCTTGGTCTGTGGCGACAGCACTTGTTCCTTTCTTGGTCTGTGCGACAGCAACTTGTTCCTTTGCTTGTCTGTAAGGCTATACAATTTTGTTATACAATTCTTTTAACTTGGCTAAGGCTAAAACTGGGTTGAGTGTGCCATATCAATAGGCTGGGCTCCCTGTTGATAATTAGCAATTTAGAAGTGTGCCATTCAGAATACGACATGTGCTTTGAAGAAGTTGATAATTAGAAGCAGCAGAAAGTACAACATGTGAACAGTAAAGGACAACATGGGAATATGAGAATAAACATTTCTCGTTTCTGGCTCACTGTTGGGTGGCTGAGAGTACGACTGGACACCTGTTCCAGAAATATCATTCACATGCAAACAGTACACTGATTTCTGGTTAAATGTCCAACTCCTCATCAACTAATCATAATCAAACTAAACATTCGTTAAATGTCCAGGTGACGCAATCTCTCATGTTCATGATCGGCAACTGTGCTTCCGTCACATTGTAGAAAGTTTCAAGGAAAAATTCTTCAGATTTTTTTCCCAAGTTCTGACCTTTTCGTTGTCGTTTCAAGACCAAAGTCGTCGTTTTGTATTTCGTCCCTCCCTCTCTCTCTTGAGAGTATTACCTTTTCGTTGTCGTTTCAAGACCAAAGTCGTCGTTTTGTATTTCGTCCCTCCCTCTCTCTCTTGAGACAATCATGCTCTCTCTTTCCTTTCTCCATCGTCTAACTCCAAAACCCTCTTTCCCTTCTCTGTATGGGCAGTGATTTGAAATAAATATAAATCTGAATTTGAGTGTTAAAAAATAAAAATCTAAAAAAATTAAACCTTCAATCATCTTCAAATTATGATATTGAAATATTATACCATAAAGTTCATTTATATTATTTCCTCTAGCTGTAATTTTATACTACTTCTATTTCATATGATTTGTCACATTTAGAATTTTACATTTTTTAGGAATACCATTAAATTTTTCTAAATTATAATAAATTATTGAGTAAATCGACTACATTACTCTTAGTTTAATACCAATTCTCTAAAAAATCATTAAATTGAACTCATTACTCCCTAAATAAGTATTTTTAAAATAAATTATTTTCTTAAATATGATAAATACAGTGATATTAATTATCGTGAGCCACACTCAAAACAAATTTCTCGTGAACACATTTTTCCACAATTAGGGTGGAAGGAAGACTATAAAGACTTCCTTGGCATAGAAAATTGTGCTTTGATTATGACTGTAACATATATTAATAGAACAACCAAATAAAACAGTAACTTCACTTGCATCACATTAATTCTATGGGATCTATTTATATATGTATATATTTTAAAATTCAACTCCTTTTTTATTTTTTGTATAAATCACCGATATCTGGACTATGTTATTGAACTATATAATTCGGTTTGAGGCTTAATTACAGTTAAGGCTTCATGACCCTCTTTACATGTGCGTTTAATAGTGATCGAATCTAAAAACTCTTTTTATATGCCCAACTTATATTGCAAACTGGGTCATAACGCGTAGATAACTCATTTTCTATTTTGAAAAGGATGGAAGTGGAAAACCAAGTAACACGTAGAAAACCAAGTACACGTATTAAATTAGTCAATAAAGGACTAATATTTTCTTTCAATCAATGGATCAAAAAGGACAATACAATGGCAGAATTTATTTCGTTTTATTATCTTGTCTACAGATGCGTTTTACTTTGGTTGCCATCTTTTCAAAAAAGTCTTTAGCAACGATTATTCAAATTAATTTTTTTTTTAAAAATTTCTAAGAAGAAATCAAACTGAAAATTTCTTAGAAGAAACTGTATAAGTTATAGAAAATTTCATTAGAAGAAACTGTATACAGTTAATAATAAATCACTTATACAAAGAATAAAAAAGCATAATCTTGATCGAAGAATTTGATCGAGTTAACAGAGCATAATATTTATATATAGACAATTGCTTGCTTCACTTTGTGGCTATTCATAGCCATGATCTTGCTACAAGTCTAATTTGATCACTTTTAAACTTTTTCCTTTTATTAGAGATAATATCTACACTTATTTTAGTATAATTATCTAAATAATAAAATACTTAGACAAAATCTCCATAGAAGGCTATTATGTAGATTATTGATAGTGAATTCTCCTTAATGTAGGAGGTCATGTTCAAAATATTATCAATTTTTGGATATTGATTCTTTCAATTTTTATTTTTTTAACATTAAATCTATATTTATTTGAGGGTTAAAGTGATATTATGCATGTTAAACACATGCTTAAGGAAGGATTTAATTAAAGTATTAGCTATTAAATACTTAAACTTTTATTTTTGTTATAAAAGTTAGCTTTTATTCAATTTTTGCCGTTAGTGACTCAAATTTGCTGTAAATATAAATAAAAGTTGATAAGACATATGGATCAATTCGATAAATTTAGAAAGTTTAAAATATGTGTTAATTTGGCCTTTTTTTTTTTTATTACAAACCCATTTTTTAAATTCTCAACATATGTTTAAAATATAAAAATTTATTTTTAGAGCTTTATTTACTCTTTTATATGTTTAAAATATAAAAATTTATTTTTAGAGCTTTATTTACTCTTTTAAATTATGCATTTGGACTTTTTAGCAGCCAAATTAATTTTTATAATTTTATTTTGCTAAAATGACTGTAGGGAATTTTTTTTTTGTCGGAACCAGCTACTACCTTTATTCCATAATATTTTATCTCGTCTCATCCCTTGGGGGTTTTACTATAGGGACCTACGTTTTTCCTTGTGCATGTGAATACAAATTATATACTCCCTCCGTCCCAAAAAGATTGTCCATTTTTCCTTTTTGGTTTGTTCCAAAATATAGTCTACTTTTCTTTTTTTGTATTATAGTTAATTTTTAAATTGCCTATTATATCCTTATTAAATTTTAGCTTATTTTCAATAACTCTTATAAAGTTTTACTTATTGTTCAAATATAATAATTGTTCATGTGTTATTTAAGATGGCATAATAAGAATCATGTGTTATTTAAGATGGCATAATAAGAAAGTTATATGAATAAAATTGTCATTTAGCCATAATAATTGCTACTTTCTTAATCTGTGTGAAAATAGAAAGTGTAATTTATATTCATTCGTTTCAAATTATTGTCTTGTTTTTTCTCTTTTAAATTGAATGATCTTTAAAGTTTACTATTTAAATCTTATTAAATACTCTCTCTGTCTCAAAATATAAATCATTTTTGTATGTTATTTTGTCCTAAAATATAAAGTTTTATGTAGTTTAAAAAGTAATAAATGAGGTTTTTTCAATGTTGCTCTTGTTTACACTAAATACAATAAATTATACTTTACAAGCAACTATTGGTTTTGAGATAAAAGATAATTTGGTCAAATTACCATTGAATTTGTTATAACCTAAGAGAGTTAATTGATTCCTTAATCTTTATGCAAAAACCTTAAACAACTTATATTTTGAGATAAGGAAGTATAATAGTCAAACTACTATATGACAATAAACTAAATCTTGATTTAAACAAAAAAACTAGAATATAACTCTTTAATTTTCAAACGAAATTCTATTTAATAAATGTTTAATTTACAGTTTGATTAATTTTAAAGACAATTTAATATGGATCATTTAATTTTAATAGAATACTAACATAAGCATATATTAAGAAAAAACAAAGTAAAAGTTATAGTTTAATCATATTAGCTAAAAAAGTTATAGTTTAATCATATTATAGCTAAAATTTCTTACACTATGTATAAAGTCGGACTAAGATAAAAATTAAATGGTATCGTAGGAAATATAGATGCAATGCGAAAAGTTTCTCTAAGTTAGTAAAGTGTAGAAATTATTGCTCTTTTTTTAAAAAAAAAATGTATAATATATAATTAGACCTGGAAAATTAAAACTATTTTTGTATATATAATAATAGACCTGGAAAATTAAACTATTTTTGATTTTGAGAGTGATGGAATTGGAAAACCAAACAACACGTATCAAATTAATCAACAACCCCAATATTTCTCTCACCAATGAAAATGTAGCAATCAAAACGGACAATATATATGTGGTAGTTATTTCCCTATTTGTTTAATATCTTATCTGAAATGGCCAAGTCTTCATATTGGAAAGTACGTGGTAGGTATTTTGGTCTTTTTCTTTCTTTTTTTTTTATTTTAAAAAAATTGTCTTTATCGGGACCATTTTGGAAAAAAGTATTAGCATTTTGGAAAAAAGCAATTATTAACCCATAATAAATTTACTATGCATTCATCGTTTGTTTACTTTAATTATATATATGTATATATTTTAAAATTCAACTCCTTTTTTATTTTTTGTGTAAATCATCGATATCTGGACTGTGTTATTGAACTATATAATTCGGTTTGAGGCTTAATCACAGTTAAGGCTTCATGACCCTCTTTACATGTGCGTTTAATAGTGATCGAATCTAAAAATTCTTTTTATATGCCCAACTTATATTGCAAACTGGGTCATAACGCGTAGATAACTCATTTTCTATTTTGAAAAGTTGTCAAAACTGGGGTCATAACGCGTAGATAACTCATTTTCTATTTTGGAAGGATAGGAAAGTGGAAAACCAAGTTAACACGTTATTTAAATTAGTCAATAAGACTAATATTTTCTTGTCCAATCAATGATCAAAAAGGACAATACAATGGAGATATTTCTTATTATCTTCCTTGTCTAAGATGCGTTTACTTTGGTTGTTTCATTCCTTTTCAAAAAAAGTCTTTAGCACATTATCAAATTAATATTTTTTTTAAAAAATTTCTAAGAAGAAAATTTCAAGAACTGAAAATTCATTAGAAGAAAACTGTATATCAGTTATGAGATACCAAAAATCAATATGTTCTAACTAATATTTTTAATATAGAAATTTTAATTTAATAAATCACTGATT